CGATAAAGCGGCACGACACGAGAACCCTCTCATCGTGGCCGCCGGTAACTACATTCCCGATCCTGCGGACAGAATGGAAAGCAGTCGACGTCGCCCAAAACACGTCATCTCGGATCCTCCCGATCCACTAACGGTGCTTTTAGGTACTTCAAGCACCGGTCACCGTTCTCGTCGAACCCGTCGCTTGCGACGAAGGGCTCGACGAGTAAATTAACTCTCAGACACAGCCCACTGAGTTTCTCGCCGGATCTTCTCAGTGGGTCGCGTTTCCGATCCGGTGGTAGATTCTGCGAAGCACGACTCTTGCTAGGGTTCGTGTTAGCAACATCGTCAGGTTTGAGCCCCGTGAGCTCACCTACTAAAGTTAGGGTTACGCTGACATAGCCGCTAGGGCTATCAGCTTAGGTAGGAAAAAAACAAAGGTTACTGTCGCCCATGGACATCAGCAATACCAGGGGCAGAACTAAGCTGCTGTCTACTATTAATTGAATGTATTATATATAGTATAAATAGTACTTTTAGTCAAGAAAATAGTGGGTATTATGTAGCAGTTTAAGGCAATTTAGTTCAGGCTCGATTGGAATAATATAAAAGGTAATTTTCATTTGTTTTGCTTGTGGTCAGAGAAGAGGCTAATTGGTTTAAAATGGAATTTGGTTATGATATCATAATTATAATATATTATATTTTATTTTATTTATACTTTCTACAATTTTCCAGGACACATCCACGCAAAAGACAGCAAGTAGATTGGAAGCATTCCAATGTCACAATAATGCTGTATTTGACCTTGCTTGGATGCCCAAAAACATGAATTTTATAACTGTTTCAGGTAAATTAAACATAATTAAAATTTCATGTGTTATTTTGTACTTGTGAATTATGCTACTTAAAGCCAGGCAGCTGCAATGGACTTCAGCAATGCCAGGGACAGAGCCAAGCTGCTGCATTGATTTTATTGAATTATTAAATGTTCAGAGCAAAGGGACTTCTAATTCAAATCAGGGTGACCTCTCCGAATACACATATTACGTCACATAACTATTAAAATAAACTTTGGAAGGCTATTTAACATCTTAACCCACATGTGGAAATACAGTAGAGTTGTTTGACAGGGGACTAATCGATAATCAATATCATTAGCTGGTCTGATCTGGTTTATCTACACCTAATTTTAGTGTATTGAAAACTTTTGAAACATTAATTATAAAATAAACATTCCAGGAGACCACACGGCTTGTCTGTGGGATGCAGCAGAAGGTTCACCTAAAAGAGTTCTCGTGTTCTCGAGCCACACGAAGTCTGTTAAAATTGCCGTATTTCGGCCCATGGAGCCGTCGGTGTTCGCCACCGGCGCGAGAGACGGCCACATCCTCATTTGGGACATCCGCGCCTGCAACCAACCCACGCTGGTTTTAAAGCCAGACAACTGCCTCATGAACTGCCACTCTAACTTCGCGCCGAAGACTCCCTCCTCGCACGGCAAGCGACCCCGCATCGACGGCCACCGCGCCGTCAGCATCACCGGGCTCGTGTTCCAGGACGACGACACGCTGCTGTCCTGCGGCGAGTGCGACGGGAACATCAAGGCGTGGGACCTGCGCAAGAACTACAACGTGTACAAGCGGGAGCCGCTCCCCAAGCACTCCATTCCCTACTGCGGCAGCTCCGCCAGGAACGGCTACAGCAACCTCGTCATAGACCACTCCGGCGTGCGCCTCTACGCCAGCTGCATGGACGACGTCATCTACTGCTTCAACCTCGCGGCCTACAACCCGCTGCCCGAGCGCCGCTACGTCGGCCACCACAACGGGACCTTCTACGTCAAGAGCGGGCTCAGCGCCGACGGGGCCTACCTCGTCAGCGGCAGCAGCGACAAGTACGCCTACCTCTGGAACGTCAAGTGGAGCGAGCCCCTGCTGCGCCTCAGCGGACACCGCGCCGAGGTCACCTGCGCCGCGCTGTGCCGCCGCGCGCGCGGACCCCTGCTCGTCACCGCCGGGGACGACGCGCGGCACCTGCTGTGGAGGCTGCACGCCGCGCCCCGNGCCGCGCCCCGCCCGCGCCGCTCGACGCCACGCCGCGCGCCGCCAAGCGCCGCCACCACCCGCCCGCGCGCTCCAAGCGCTGCCTCGCCGACCTCATGCCCGACGACTCCGAGCCGACTGCGAAGCGACCCAGGCCTGACGTGCAGCCCGCCGTGGCCAAGCGCCCACACAACAGCGAACCTGAACCCCCGATTCCAAGCAAGTATCCACGGATTGAAGAGACGACGTCAACGTGGGGAGAAGCCGCCGAGAGCAGGGGTCTAACGACACCCACCAAGAATTACGAGAAAAGAAGTTACAAAACCCGATCCCCCAAGAGTCCCAAGCCGATCTCTCCATCATCAGTCTGCCGGTCCCCAGTAAAAGCGTCCCCAACGAAGATCAAAATACTAACGTTCACAACGCCGACAAAGAACCTGCCAAATTTCGTACTCAACGGTGAAGCCCCGCATCTCAGGCTGATGTCGCCCGCCAAGAAGAAACCGGGAACTACAGATTGGCTGACGAAGCTTCGAGAACAAAAAGAGAAAGTGGAACCGGGGGAGGGAGCGCCGGTGCCGCTGAGCCCGAGGGAGCCGCCGCCGCGGAGGAACTCCGGCGCGGAGAGGACGCCCAAATCTGCTAAACGAAGCCGAACAATCCTGACATATTTCACGAGCGTCGCAAAAAATAAATAATTTATGTTATTATAGTGCCAAATGGATGTTAGACCTGGTGAAACTGGAAAGGCCTCCGGGCCACCAGTAATCGCTCAAACATAAAAAAGGGTGTTAGACTCCATCCGTAACAACATAACCAAGTTTGTTTGACCGAAATTTTGAAGTTACTAATTACAATATAAAACTGTCTCTCGCTACTCGGGTAACACTATGAGTATTCATTAGTTGTGGCTATCACTTTTTAGTTTATAAGTATTTTAAATAGTTTGGCTGTTTTGTGAGATTTCTTTTGCACTCATAAAGGCAAATGAGAACTTTATTTCTGATAAAAATAAAGGAAATATCGACTGATAAGTTAAGTATTTAATTTAAAAATGTTTGCTTGCATTTTAATATTGCATGTTAAAACTATAGAATTGCACAAAAAATGTGCAGGAATGAGTCCTGGGTAGTCAGCTGTCGCCGACAGAATCAGTGATGATCTTTTAATTGGGAATGAAATTATTTGTTGATTCTGATTGGACATGTCTCACGAAGGTATAGTCATCATCATATTTTTAGTCTTTCAATTTCTTTCCTTTTAAATTTAGCAAGTGGTAACCGTAAAAGTTATCTTATTCTTCGTATAAGTTATCTTAATATTCTTAATTTTAATACACAGTGAGAATGTCCAGTCACGCACGTTCCTCAATGTGCTAACGATTATCCATAAGTTAGTGTAAGACGTATTGTGATGACAGTAAAGTGCTATTTCCAAGAAACCGATGGATTTATTTTCCCAGAACTACCTACTCCTTTGTGCGCGCGCCGCCCGCCGCCGGCGCCGCCCTGTCGCGCTCGCTCGGCGCTGTGTGACTGAGCTCGGATCGCAGAGTTATTGCCACTTTTAATACATAGTTAGATGATCTAGATCAGGGGTCTGCAACACGGCGCCCGCGATTCATTTTTGATGCGCCCTCGCTGGACTAATGTAAATGTATGACAGCCAGAGCGATTTACTTACTCTTGTCAAACTGCGATATACAGCAAGTGGTCAGTTGAGTTTAGGATTGTGCACAGATTAGCAGTTTGCTAACCTTGAGCGTATCTAATAACACGCACGTATGTTTTTTTAGTGCGTGATCGTATTTCGAATAGACCACGCGTAGACCGTGTATTTAAAACTACCAAGTAATCCGAAAGAATTCTTTTCTTTCAAAACCCTTCATACATAAATGTAAAAAAAAGAACATTATTTTAATGATGAATGGGAACGAAATATTTGAAATCAAAATATCGAACAAAGCTTAATGGCTCACATTTAGATAATTGTTTAAGGACCGGGAACTCTAAATATAGCCCCAATTATAAGAAATTAGCTGAAAATATGGACACCCAAGTTTCACACTGAATTATACGAATATGTATCATTATGTATGACACCAACAAAATAAGTTATAAAAAATCTGTTTTTTCAATGCCTATTTATACCTGTTGATTATCTGTAAAATATGCGCCCTCGGTGATTTTTAAATTTAGTATTGCGCACTTATGGACAAACAGGTTGATCTAGATTCTAGTCCTTTATCAAATCTTTTTTCTTTTTTTTATTGCATATATGGTTGGACGAGCTCAGCCCACCTGGTGTTAAGTGGTTACTGGAGCCCATAGACATCTACAACGTAAATGCGGCACCACACCTTGAGATATAAGTTTTAAGGTCTCAAGTATAGTTACGACGGCTGCCCCATCCTTCAAACCGAAACGCATTACTGCTTCACGGCGGAAATGGCAGGGTGGTGCCTACCCGTGCGGACTCACAAGAGGTCCTACCACCAGTAAAATCTTCAAATGAATTAGATCGAAATGAAACGATTCACTTGAAATAAAATGGAGCTAGTAGAATCAATTTGGTGGGAATTCACAGACTTCAATGGACTTTTTGGAAGAACCTGAGAAAAGTCGTTTTTATTTTCTATTTATTCCACAGTTGGGTGACTGGCCCTTTTATTTTCTATTTATTCCACAGTTGGGTGACTGGCCCACAACCTCCCTGCCGCTAAGTGGTCGGAGCCCGTGAATAGGTCGCTCGCTCAACAGACCGGGATAAACACAACCGAATCTTATGGGATCTTAGATGCTTGACAAAGACAATAATTGAATAATAAAACACTGGTTTCAAGATGTGCCACTGCTCACTCTTTATTACGCTTGTTAGTCAATATAATATTAAAAATATATATATTATATGTATGTAATCACCATTGACTTTCATTTGGTTCATCGCAGGCTTTTAGTACAACACTGTGTTGACTTTAATTATGAAGTCAGTAGCTATTTCTTTAATTTTATTTAACACAAAACAGCTGATGCCAAACTACTTATAATATTCTTCGTATTTCGTTTTTTATTTATTACAGCTGATTTATTCATAACATGATAACAATGTTAGCACAGAAGATTAAAACAGGAATGTGCCACAGAATTTTCGATTATTATTCAGTAACGTTTAGATCAAAAATATTGAGTGAATCATAAATAAAAGGCTGCGATGAATCTGTTCAAGGGCGTAATGTCAACAAAGAAATATTGAGTAACGAAAATTGAACAATTTTCTAAACGAATTAAAACAATTATAAAATGAAAATTAACAAAAGCGTGACGCAGAGCGTCGCTCCGTACACTTTGTTACACCGCTACGACTCGACTGCACTTATACACTACGTAACTTAACGCTATTTACATACAATAAATTTTATCAAGCGATTTTTAAGTCTTAGTATTTTCTCAATTATCAATTTGAAAAATTTGTTAATTGTCTCTATATAGTAAAATCCACTGTATTTCACTCTCACTGCCAATTTCAAAAAGTTTTCTTTTTCGTTTACTACACAATACAAAGTAACAATGTCTTAGCCCCGCTAAAACGACTACCACAGGTATGCAACAATACACACGAGTAGATCCAACCACCGCGCCGGGTGCGGACGTCGAGCGAGTTCACTGAACCTGGCCACTCGGCCAAATGGTTATGAAATCTGACATTCAGGCCAACTTAGCGTCATTGTGTTGATTCATTTGGGACGTGTTTTAATCTTCTAAGCTTCTTACAAATTGCTGAATGATATCACACAAATCAAACACTTTCAAAAGATAAACGAAATGTCAAAATCACGCCGTAACTTTAAAATCCATTCTACAATACAATACATTACAAATATTGCACATCCTTCTCGCATTCTCGTGCTCGACGTCGCAACACAAAGGCGTTGGTAAAAAAAAAACTGGTAAAATATAAAACTATGAAGCATCACGTTTTTGGGCACGAATATTTGTCGTGAAACGGATCGCTGGCGGGCACAACTAACAAATTGAAAACACGTTTTCCCGCGCCGTGGACCACAGAGCCGACACGGACTTGAGGTGATCTACTATATTTATTGCAAATTTATTTTTAAATTTACTGGCAAAATTGTGTAAGTGAGTTAATTTTAGTTGAGTCTGAGTGAGTTAATTTTAATTAATTAGATTCGGTACAAGCAATGCTAGTTGTGTGCCGTGAAGCTGATCAGTTTCACACAGTCATCGAGCAATTCAGTCGCAATTCGAGATCAAACCGCCCGAGGCTATTAACGCCTCATGCTAGGGTTGCCAACTGCTCTCAGATGAAATACACTATAATTAGATAAAACTAGAATTAATATTGCCAGATGTAGTCGAAACGGGACAACCAGATTACGCAAATATCAAAACGTATCGCAAGAAAAACCAAATTACTGACAAAATTCAAGCGCCACGCAGACGGTGACTTGTCGCGGGTCTAGTAGCGTATGAAGGATTTCTAAATTTTATTTGTAATGACTTTGTCATCACTAAGAAATTATAAAAATTTGAGTACACACAATTACTTACTGGCTCTTTACGTTACTTGTTAAATTGTAATCGTTACCTAAATATAAAAGAGTAATGTATAGTAGATGATATAAATATATGTATAACATAGGTTTTAAGATTCACGATGAATTTAATTTTAGAGAAAATTTAGTAACACATAATATTTCAGTTGTCCACATATAAAATTTCGACTGTTACACAATTGTGTTAGAAACATATTAATCACATTAAGATAATATATTTAACGGTGCGGTTGGCAACCCTACTTCGAACTCTACCGATAATAATACATATATAAATTTATACCTCCTTCAAAATGTATCAATAACCATTCAAACAAACGTCAGTGTTGTACTAAGGCAAACATTAATCCTCAGAGTAACCCACATATGTCAGTGTGAGCGTGAATCGTAGGTACGCGTCGCCTGCGCCGGCCGCCGGCCACAGAATCAGGGCTGACAAGAGCGACCGGCACAGTAGGGACACATTGAAGTCTAGGCTTCATATTATATACAAATGTGGCTCCGAATAAGAATGACCACCAATTATTTGTTTTATCACCAAAGCGATGCACTTTTAATGTGTGCCACATGAGAAATTTAATTCTGTTGTTGTTTTAGCCTGTCACATACAAAACTATTTCGAAGTTTTGTTTACAAAATCAAACTTCTTCTTCTGAACGAGAATTCATTAATTATGTATCGGAGCTTAGCTTGTATTTATTACGTTTACAAAACTGCAATGCATTAGTCATTTTTTATAAAAAATTTCAGAGTAATAAATTTCAAATGTGATCTTTAAAAAATCTTAGAAAATAATGATCCTACAAGTCGACCTTGGAAAACGTAAACGTACGATGTGAATATAAAAACGAGCGGCTGCTGCGTCCTTGGCGTCGCCAATGTCAATAACAAAACCTAGGCCAGAGTCGGACTATCCGAGCGGTTTGGCAGTAAGCTGCAATGTCCCTGCGGCTGCGCGCGGGAGGCGACAGCTGACGTTAATGTCACCTGACGTCACTTCACACAGAATACAGATTACTAACAAGTTTCACAGCTAGTTCACGAATGTGACATTATACAATATTCATTGATTACTTTATTAATTGTTTAACACATTAACATTATCATTATTATTATTTATTTACATATAAAATTTTACACACACAGTTATTAATAAAGTGGCGCTAATCAAATTGAAACGTTTTATTTCTCAGACATATTTTATGCTTTTAATTCACCAATATCTACTTTATTTATTGTAATATCCACAATTCAATTTCCGCACTTTAGACTTTTCAATAAAAATTTATATCTCTCAGAGACTTTCCGGTTCTAGCCAATAAAACTTACATATTTACAAAATTATATTCGTAAATATATCGAATATGAACTTCGAAGTTGTATTAGGTAGTCATTAGCGATTACATTGAAATAATTTATCGCAGAGTTTACGTTTTCCACGTCCGACGAACACTTCGCGCCGTCTCCTAATGTACGACACGGTACGGTAAATACACGTTTTGTACTTATTGTGTATACGCTTAGAGTGCATTATACAAAAACCAGCAAAGTATTACGAACGAGTCACGTCGATTTATTATTTTAGGTTATTATACAATATCGTTTGCCTACAAAAAGCTTTACAACATTGGTTTTATGTACACACGACATCGCAGCACGGGGCGGAGGGGGCGGCGCGGGGTTGGGGGAGGGGGCGTAGTGTCTACTGTGAGGTGTACATACATTATGTACACAAAAAGTCGACAGTATTTAGTTCGATTCCAAGGTTGTGTCACTGGTGTAGCGCCTTAGCCGTAGACAACAATTTGTGTTACGTTCAATATACAAAATTTTCCAAAAAATTTCATTTCGTTATTTACAAAAGATTTAGTTGTCCCGGGGCAGCGGCGCGCCCTCCGCCGCTCGGCTCGTGCGAGACAAAAATGTAGCCGTGACATGATATTTATTTAAATATTTTTTTTACAAACAGTAAAAAATCTTTTTCACCACAATGTGTTTTAGACCTCAACATTACAGAAAAAAAATACCACAAACATTTCTAAGTCTTACTCGATACTAAATATTGAGGTACAAAACGAGTCGACACCGCGCGCCGCGGACATGCCCGCGACGTTTCATATTGCACTATTTGCTGTGGATATGATATTTTGTATGTAGAAAAATACAAAAAAGTTCTAGGACGACCCTCCAATACAAACACACGTTCAATAAGTCAACTAACATATCCGGCTAACGAGTCAGCCGTGTTTACTTGTAGTATCCGAACGAGTGACCACCGCACGCGCGGCGCGGTGTGGTCCCCGGGCGCCCTCACACGCCCGCACTCACCACACACTCTGAGACGCTGGCGGTGCTCCGCTTGCTGTCTGCACGGACAAGGATGCTCGTTACAAACTTACAGAATTAGATAATACAATTAAGATTATGAAAATACAACGAAAATCTATTTAATAATACGTGAAGCAAAAATTAGTACCCCTTTTAGTACACTTATAGAGAATATAGAGAAGGAGTGCAGAATGTTACTATTTTTTTAAATAATGCATAAAAAAATCCTACATTAAATCAACTTTTCTAAAGCTTATAGTCTGTGGTCAAATTGAGAATAGATTAAACATTGTTTGTCTTTAATATTATTTGTCTATAGTGTACCTAATCTTGGCGATTATAGAGGTATAATAAATACCTAGTCTTTGTCAACAGAACCATAATAATGATCAAACATATAATTTCAATTAATTATAGTCAAATTTGGACTACTGGGGGACCACTAATCAAAATACAATAGCAGATACAATCAGAACTGGAAGCGTCAGGTTTGCGATCCACTTGTTTAGCACCAGGAACTGACTATTTGAAGTACAAGTCAGTACGGAGCTACGGACAGCTTTTATCACATTTCGTTAGGTTCTGGAATAAACTCCTCTGCAGAGTTGGATCCGTGTAGCATCCTATGCACCACGAGTTCCCAGCGCCGGCGGAGGACAGACATCCGCACAGACGAGAGTAGGATCCTCGTAACACGTAATGAGCACATGTATATTACTAGTGTGGGTGTCATTACCGATGTTCCGTCACCAGCAGAACACGGAGAGCTCGCCTGCGTGCGCGCCACCCACCGCGCGCCACGACCGCACGCCCCCCACGCGCCCCACCGACCCCATGCGCCCCACGGACCCCACGCCTGACACGCCTGCGCCGCCCATCTTCAGCTGCGAACAACAACGCATTACCATACTGAAATTTCATTCAATTATTTTGGATCTTACCCTAAATATATTTATTTGTCACGAGAAGCAATTACAATTTGAAAGGCTAATAAACTTAAAAATAATTGGTATTACGACGTTATTTAAGACGAGGGTTTTTTCAAAGGCTCAAAACCAGCGCGAAATGGTTCTTTAGACACGTCCACGACCGGCGTGACCTCGTGAGGCTATTTATTTATTTATTCAGCATGTTGTCAAAATGATCGTAGGCGCGATTTAAACACTGCAAGCTCCGACAAATTCTCTGGGTCCCTCACTCAATATACTACTACCTTCGTCCGCATTAGTATATCTCTAATGATCTATCTTATCTATCGCGTAATGAAAGCTCTCTATGAGTTGCACAGTTGAGTAAACTTAGAGACATTTTATTTTAGAAACAGCGTGGAGGGTATTCACGTCCAGCGATAATTTATTTCGATAGTTTCTTATTATGTTTTATTTGGCTCAAAAATAACAACAGCAATGTGTACGTCGAAACATGTTCTATGCGGCTGATGTCCTCGGACCGCAAGAGGCGCCTACGCTCGAATGGCATATTCCCTGTCCCGGCTGACCAAGTGACCCAATCCAATTCCAATAAATTTATAGCGTGGTAAAGCTTTTTACTGACGGTAGGACGTATTGTAAGCTGCGAACCAGCCCCGCAGCCCGGTCTATTGTTGCCGCGAAGAAATCGTAAGCAATAAAAAATAAAAAAGAGCACGTCTACCCCAACAGTTATCGGTTCTGCGACATATGTGACCAGCCCTCTGCCACTTCAGTGTACAAATACATTTCCCTTATACAGACGTGTCCAGGGGCCGCTCCCACCCGGTTTTTTTTTACTAAATAAACTGCTACTTGTAGTTTTTTTTTATTGCTTAGATGGGTGGACGTGCTTACAGCCCACCTGGTGTTAAGTGGTTACTGGAGCCCATAGACATCTATAACGTAAATGCGCCACCCACCTTGAGATATAAGTTCTAAGATCTCAGTATAGTCACAACGGCTGCCCCACCCTTCAAACCGAAACGCATTACTGCTTCACGGCAGAAATAGGCAGGGCGGTGGTACCTACCCGCGCGGACTCACAAGAGGTCCTACCACCAGTAAAATGAATGAATGACCCAGAATGACTTCCTTGTGTGACAGACAATAACTGGTTTCTATAAGCTAAATTACTTTATTGTCTTTTGTCTTGTTACTATTTCTGCGAGATGATGAGCGAACGATCCGTATAAAGAGTTGGAACGCTTATTGGCGTCTCAGAACAGGTTGAGCACTCAGCTGAACTCATGTCAACGTATACTAAAGACCGCGTCCAATGAACATTGAAAAACGAATCTTAAGTGCATTGGAATAAAGACTTCCTCTAGGCTTTAAATTCAAAGTAGCCATCTGACGTAGGAACGTATGAAGGGTTCTGCGCGCATGTGATAAAACAATTTTGTTTAAAAAAGTTTTATCAAACTTAAACAAATGTACAGCAAGAGGTCACACTAACAACGCCACGATTGTGTTCATGCATCCACGTGCAAGGTCAACGAACTCTACAACATGCGATAAGCTGATAACAAGTCCAATCGCAAGATAAACGTGACAAAACGATAAGATTTTGAAAGTCGCGTTTTTTATAGCTACTAAACTACGTATTATTTTTAACGAAAAATTATCGAAGTGAAAATACGACCGGAGCATCCTTCATACTTCTTCGCGTGACTGCGACGTGAGCTTGTTCATGTCCGTCTCGGCTTCAGAAGTTTCGGTATTACTACACTATTGCATATCCAGATTGAACTTTTTTTTATTGCTTAGTTGGGTGAACGAGCTCACAGCCCACCTGGTGTTAAGTGGTTACTGGAGCCCATAGACATCTACGACGTAAATGCGCCACCCACCTTGAGATATCAGTTCTAAGGTCTCAGTATAGTTACAACAGCTGCCCCGCCCTTCAAACCGAAACGCATTATTGCTTCACGGCAGAAATAGGCAGGGTGATGGTACCTACCCGCGCGGACTCACAAGAGGTCCTGAATTGTTTCTATAGTTCTAGTTTCCTAGTTTCCTGATGGACATCACATTGTGAATGTGGCCACATACACTACGGCACGAGGAGAGACCCGGTACTGTATTGTCAGCCCACGACCGCCACCAAACGGGCTCCTCATACGCCCAATCAGTAAAACCTATGTTTTATATATTACAATATTATAACAATATTTTTATAATACAAAAAACCAGTTCCACGTATATTCCGCCGCATCGATCCTGCTCTATCATTAGGCCGGTGTGCCGATACGCACCGCAGTTGATATAATGTACACATTTACAAAGAGCCAGACTGTGCGGTCCGTGGGAACCGACGGCCCCACGTGTGCTCGGTGCGCGACGTCATGTGCAGACCAAATAAAACATAAATAAAAATAGACACGCACACAATATCAAGGATTCAGAACACAACTGCGCCCGGTACTTTTGCGAGAGCTGTATACTCGTGTGTCCGGTGCATTAAGTAACTTATTAACATTTCCATTATCTTATTGACGAGGCGCTAAACTAATTGGCCTTGTTATCACAAGACTGCATTGAGTTGCATTAAACAGATTGCCGATTGCTAAGTTTGTTATTCCGTAATGAAATCAGCAACGTTCTTTTTCGTAGAATGGCTAGAATTGTAATTTGAGGTGATTCCTCATTATATTATATATTTCTTATAAATCGATACAGTTCGGAATGAAGTGATCAGAAACTTTACTGATTATAGAATGTACACCGTTACATGTATAATTTGGCAGTTGCGCTGACTTCACAGAGCCGTGGCCACACATTGTTTCCACGAATCCGTTCAAGGACATAGAATAGACAGATGTTGTTGTCTGTGAGACATCTTCTCTGTTTAAGTTCTAGTTGGGCGATGTTTTAAAGTATAATGGAATGAAGCTTCAGGAGTACTGTTGAACTAGACGAAGCTTTTAAAGCGTTTTTTGTTGAAAAAAGAAAAATTAGGATATTGCTCATCAAAAGACCTATAAAATTCTGATCCACATAGTTGGCTATCATCTGATTATTATTATTATTATTATATCAGAAAAAAATGGTGAGTTATGGTATCATTGCGACGCGAGTTTGGCGAAGAAACAGACTAAAATATTCACAATCCAAGAAAGGTTTCTTAAAGAAAGACTTTATTTGATTTATTTGATGCATTGTGCATTCATTTGCTGCATTTGATGCATAGTGATGCATGCGTGTTCTCTGAAATGGTAACCCTCGATTCCTGATACCATATCAGGCTATAGTTTCACGTGATTCGCGAAGAGGTCACAAAATATATAGGTATTTTTCGAGACTAAACCTAGCCCAGCAACTTCGTACCGAATGACAAGAATGAAAATACGTTACTTCCATATCAATTACGTGTTTATGTGTTCTTGAAAACACTTATACTAAAATAACAAGACAATAATGTTCCAAAAAGATTGCTCGGGCCGTACCTGTTGCATTTTATCAAAGTCGAGTGCGGGTCTGTGTCGGCGACGGCGCGGTGAGTGCGGGGAGTGCGGGGAGGGCGGCGGGTGCGGCGAGGGCGGCTCCCAGGCGCGGTCGGGCGCGCACGCACAGCCCGCGGCCGCCCGACGCGGCTTCAGTGCCTCCAGCGGGGGAGACGTGCGGAACCGCACCGGGGTCTCCACCTGAAACCCACCACCGCACTTCGGATTAACATCTTATTGTCTATATATTTTTTATCCTACCTAAGCTGATAGCCTTGAGAGGCTATTTCAGCGTAACCTTAGCCAGTAGGTGAGCTCACGGGGCTCAAACCGGAGTGATGCTAACACTGACCCTGGCAAGAGCAGTGCTTCGCAGAATCTACCACCGGATCGGAAACGCGACCCACCGAGAAGATCCGGCCAGAAACTCAGTGGGCTGTGTCTGTGGGATTTGTCTTATTACTAGAACGAAAACTGTATATTTAAAATAATCCAAGTGTTAGAACAGGTTTAATGAACTGAGGTCTACAAATGGAAGATGCGGTATTAGTTCACCTTAGTGTCGTCGTCGTCGGAGGAGGGCGCTCTGGCCGTCAGCTCGTCGGAGTCGATGTAGGGGTGCGCTGACCACTTGCGTTTCTCTGGGGCGGTGGGCGGCGGGGACGACGCTCCTCGTCTCCTGGACTCCGCGGTGGCGCCGGGGCAGGCCGGTGCGGAGCTGGGCACCCCGTTGATCACCTGCCAGTCATTCAGCTGTCAGCACCTAGCCGGTAGTGATGACGGTGCGTCTACTGTGAGGCATGCATTCGATTGACCACAGATCACAGGATTAAGTGCTATTTTATTCTAAATTCGTACTGTTTCAAATAATACAATATTATTATATAACTATTTCATTAATACATAATAGTTTTTTTTCAGTCTTCAATCAGTCCGTAAAGTCTCGTAGCAAAATCACATAAAAGTTATAGAAGAGATATGTACATTGACGTTCATTAATTTAAAACAATATAATTCGACTAACTCTGTTTCGTTACTAAATATGTACTACTAATACGTACTACCAATCACATAACAGAATACTGGCGCATTCACTATATTTTGCGAAACGCCAAATAGCTTGGCAAGCTGGTTCATAAGCCAAGATATAATTTTAAACATAATGGGAGCCATTTCATTGGTGACCGCGGTCAAATCGCTTGATAAAGATGCGGTAGCCAGAGAAAACCCCGGAAGTGCTACAGCTCCTGAATATTTGGATGTAGCTGCAGACGCTGACTTCGCACTGGCACCACACGGATCGAGCAACAGACAGTAGTAGTAGTAGTAGAAGAAATACGAGTTGAATCTGGCCGCTCGTTTATTTTGGACGAATCTAATGAAATGTACCTCTCGTCTCGTTAGAGCCGTGCCCTGTGCTGCGGGCGCTACTGAATACATCGGAGCTCGCGGCTCATAACCAACCGAACGGTAATAGTTGATGTCGCCCCAAACACGTCATTTCGGATCCTCCCGATCCATTAACGGTGGTTTTAGATACCTCAAGCACCGTTCACCGTTTTCGTCGAACAAGTCGCTAGCGACGAAGAGTTCAGCAAATTAATCCACGGACACAGCCCACTGAGTTTCTTGCCGGATCTTCTCAGTGGGTCGCGTTTTCGATCCGGTAGTTGATTCTGCGAAGCTTCTTGCTAGGTTTAGTATTAGCAACGTCCTCTGGTTGGAACCCCGTGAGCTCCCCTACTTGTTCGGAGTATCTAATATAACCCCTCGAGGTCACTAGAATAGATAGGAAAAGAAAAGGGGCTCGCGGATGAGCGGAGAGCATCATGTTGCCAAACTGGTTTACTTAAATTGTTACTTTGGATACATATTTTCGGTTTTGTAACTATATGAACAGCTTAATAAGTCTATCGACCTATGTGCTTGAGCCCGCTTTGGGCATTAGTGCGTACGTTTAGTTAGAGGTCTAATAGAGGAGTCTAATGTAATTTTCACCTAATTATTGTGCATGATACGTTTTTAGTATTCTTTGTCTGTCAATCAATTAGAGGCAATCCACAGATTTCCAGATCGAGAAATATCCGATACGATGACGTGAATACCAGGTCACCAAGATTGGCGTAAAAGAATCGCAAAGGTAGACCCTAATTAGGGACCAAGCCAATGGCATCATATTTTAACAATTATGGATAATTACTCAGTTCGATGTAAAACGTTACCTTTATTATTGTATCAAAATAAAATAAAAATGCCTGTGCTAATTACAATGAACTCCGATCACGGATACGATCACTTTTGTGACAATTTGTTTCCACTGTGAACATACAAATTGCCCACTTAGTAACATCGTATAGCCGTCTTTTAGCAGGAACATTTATATGAATATCAAAGGTAGTTAAGCTACAAAGAACACAGCTTTTTTTTATTTAATTAAGGGAGACTGGCGACTGCCGCTGCCGGTTGTTGTTACGCCTCGTCGCACCTCAAAGGGACGGTCAACTTAATGTTACAACGATAAATGTTGCGAACATTAACGCTTATAAGCACTGAAATGTAGTCTGTAACGTTAGGCATTAGATATACGCACATTACATCATTTTTTAATTATACATTTTTTTTAAAATGCTTAGATGGGTGGACGAGCTCACAGCCCACCTGGTGTTAAGTGGTAACTGGAGCCCATAGACATCTACGACGTAAATTTGCCACCCACCTTGAGATAAAGTTTTAAGGTCTCAAGTATAGTTACAACGGCTGCCCCACCCTTCAAACCGAAACGCATTACTGCTTCACGGCAGAAATAGGCAGGGCAGTGGTACCTACCCGCGCGGACTCACAAGAGGTCCTACCACCAGTAAAAAACATTTACAACCAGACTTCCCTGATTACGTGGTATACTAATCCGCAGTGACCAAAGGACCAGAAGTTCTAGATTGACTTTTGGATTTCCCTAAAAAATGGGAGAGAAGTGATTTGATGTTAGATATAAAACATAAACCAAACACACTTGTGTTTCAGTCTCCGCCGACATTTTTCCGCGAAACCCGTTAAGGTTTTCTTTCTGCATTTAAAAAGCAACGGAGACAAAGGAATTTTTAATTTGAATCCAAGTGCAAGGATGCAGACTCTCACCCGGCAGACGTAAAAAAGCGAATAAAAACAACGCATTGTTTAGTGTTGTCTCAAAAGATTCTTGGACGGATCACGAATTTCTAACAGCAGTAGATGTTTAACTACTTACACGCTTAAAATATTACCAGAATGCTTTTTCCTTGTTGTGTCTTCATTGATTTTTTAATACGTCAATGTGTGTCTTCCGTAAAGTGTGGTTCATAGAGTATGGATACCAGAAACCATATTTACATTCATAATTAAAAGTGTCTGCGTGTTTTAAAATTGACATTTTCAATTTTGTTAATTTGTCACATGATAAATTAATTAAAATCATTTACTTCAGAAACCAGTTCATATATATGTGTATCAACATAGAATCGTTGACATAATATTCAAATTATCATCTAAATATCATAAGTTTAAACAAATAAAAACTATAAATGATTAAAAATTACTATAAACAAACGCAAACAATAATTACATACAAATAAAAATAAATTCTGGTTACTATTGTAGCCTAAACTTCGGTTTGGATCCGGAGTGCTCAACATGCAGTCCGGTCCAGTGATGCATTATAATCGGCAGTTCAGATCTATCCGTTTATTGAAATATTCTGAAATCCAAACCGCAAAGATTGTCGCATTGAAAACTCTACCGAGTAGAGTCGGTAGAGTCAATGGTCGGTAACTCTACTAATCTCAACGGTACTCTAAATAAACCATTTAATATGTAAAACGAAATAAAAGATTGTCCTGTTTTTATATTGGAAACAGTTTTATTAAAATCTATTTATCAAAATTTGTACGTTACAAGTGAATTTACATCCGGCTTCATTCCATCAATCAACTTCTCTGATGTGTCGAGATTTGATTATCGGGAACAAAGAAAAACAATTTGCAAAACATCAACTGCCCAAGCTATTTGCATCGGTTTTCCACAATCGTTCGATAAATATTTAAGTTGTATGTATGCCCGGGTTTCCGAGGGCAATTTTTTTGTGAACCCTTGTATTTATCTAACTCAGTTATAAAATTTTAAAAATACTTATCTGTGTGACTGTTATGGATCTAAATTTGGTTAAACTTAAAGTGCTATTAGCAAGAAATCTCAGCTGATATCAATATTATTGAAAACTAGCGATCGACCCTCGCTTCGCTTCGGAAACTGTGATTTGTTTTTCATCTTATTCAATTTTCTTTTAAAAGAATCTGGTTCTGACAGTAACAAACACAATAAAAAAGAACGTAATAACCAAAAAAATGTAATCTTTCCTCTTCTTATATTCATGGTTCGCTATTTTGGGGATAATCGCTTACACGTAAAAGATGCTGTCGCTGACTTTTTTTTAGGACTATTTAAGATAAACATTTCCATTTTAGGTTATAGATTTACGTATAGCTCCAATGATTTTTGCGGCGCACGCCAGAATAGATCGCAGATGGCAGATTTTTTCCGATTTACTTGACACTTATCGTTATATTTTGAGTAACAAGCACTATATTTTTTTTATAAATTATAGCCATATGTAAAATTCATTCGGTACTTTTTGCGTTAAAAAGTCACAAACATACATCCATACATTCTTACAAAATTTGCGTTTAATATGTATTAGTAGGATATAAACAGTTACAATAACAATGTTCACACAAAATTGTTTGTACTATTTGAATTATTATAAAAAACATATTTATCTACGTAAGACGTTTATGTGTGATATGAAATAAAAAAATGTTACTAAATATTCTTAACATGAAAGTCGCCTTGGAAGGACAAAGTTTTCAACCAGCGACATCGTGACCTTCAAACATTGTGAGCCCGCATCTTAGAAGCAATGTCTCGCCTATGCTAATATGTACGTCGTTATATAAGTGATTTCAGTACTGTTCACAAAAATATACTTTTAATGGAATTTGCTTATAATGAACGAAATTTAAAATAGAGATCACCGTTGTGTTATTCTGTAGCTACCGTCTTTATCTTCTACTGTGATATTGCATGCTTGCGTAGAAGCGTCACCGGTTAAAATCAGTAAACATTTCTTTGAAAAAACAACGCGACACGATAACCCTTTTATCGTGGCCGCCTCTAACTAAATTATTCAACCCAGATGACGAGGCAGCACATAACTGTCATCATCCTAAATATGCCCTTTTGGATCATCCTGATTCACTCTTGGTGCTTTTAGGCACTCCAAACACCGGCCAATGTTCTCGTCGAATGCTCGACGTGCAGCGTTACGGGTCGCGATTCTAATCCGGTGGTAGATTCAGCATTGCTCATGCTAGAGCTAGTGTTAGCAAGTTCAGATTGAGCCCCGTGAGCTCATCAACCCATCCGCACATAATTGGAATAGCCCCTTAGGCCACCAACGATTAGGTAGAAATATGTAATGTGTGCTACTTAGCTAGGCAGTCGGCACGTTTCTAAAGAGAAAATGGTAGAATTTGCAGCATCCAGTTCAAAAGATTTGTGGTTGCGATTTGTAATCAACATAGAAGTAAGACACTGTTTTATTGTATTTACTTAGGTAAGTGGTGTAGCAATAAATATATATACTGGCTACACTCGGGCTTGCACGAGAGTCGTGCCTACTTCTGTGACAATGTATGCTTTACAGCTTCATTCTTTTAGAATTAAAAAGTTAGCCCGAATAGCAGATCTAGCGTCGTATCAAATTATCCACCTGACCCTAAAATTATGTGAAGTGTGTTCAGAACGGCACTTTACGGAAAAATAATTTATTAATTCTACTCTTTGGAACTGGTCCCACTGGGAGGGATCTGCACACGTATCTATTTTACGTATAGTAACACGATCGATTCTTTTCTATTCTTGGGAAATAGCAGGCATTGGGTTGTTACAATTAGATAGCTCTTTTCTGAAGATTTCACTATAAAAATCTGGTGGGGAGTTGACTATGAGAAAATAGCAGCTAATATTTCTAAGGACACGGTTTGTGAATAGCACTTTTTAGAGAAAGGTAATTAATTAGTGTTCAATGGTTCATTATCAGAAACCTCTCTACACCACCTGATTTTGACATCATAAATAAATACAAGGACTACAAGGAGGGTAAAAAGATTCCGTTATCTTCTTTACATAGACTTTTTGAAGGGAAGTGGTTGATTTGTCAAAGCACTTATTATAGACAGATACTCATATATTATGTACACGTGCGATATATAGAACAATTCAATCCTATCGTATCTGAAACAATGGTCGCTATTTTTTTAAACGAACTAACTTGATCATCTGCCGCTGCCTACGTTCAATCAATCTTTTGTACGCAAGAAAAAAGTCAACCGCCTTCCTCAATTAATTCAAATCGTCTTTTAATTAGGGCTCAGCCTTAAGGCCTTGGAAACGTCTGGAAAATTTTAAATTAAGAATAATACCGAGATGCTTAATCGTTGTTAGTGGTTATTCGTGCGACCCAGATAAGCGCTTTTATTTTTAATTAAATATAATGGTTGTGTTTAACGTCATCAATTTAAATAAAAGTAATAGATAATAATGTATTCAGGGATTTGGGTGTGTTTACAAGTTATTTCTTTAGTCGCATGTTAGAGTTAAGAACTAACATGTGCTCACACACATGGTCCCCGATGAACAAATATATACATAAGGTACACATCTCGCCACGAAGCAGCAATGTATTCCGCTTAGTAAGTAGGATACTTGTTCTCAAAAAAAAGCATTTAAGTATTTGATAAATTTTTTTGCTTACACAAACCCTAACAAGAGCAGTGCAGAATCTACCACCGGATCGGAATCGCGACCCACTGAGAAGATCCGGCGAGAAAATCAGTGAGTGGGCTGTGTCTATAGGTTAGTGCGCTCATGGAACTCTTTATAAATAATCGATATATAAATATTCGATAGACATCTCAATACAGTTATGTGTACATATGGACTTATTTGTTTATATTGTTTTCAACGATAACGTATCTTAACATAACGTATTTCCTTGCAGATTTCATATCAACATAATGAAGGTATTAATATCTTTTATCGATATTCAACATTATATATTTGAACAAATAAACTGTAAGCATTACGGGTAAATTATTGTGATAGGTGATTTGGCAAACGTTCTTGACGGGTGTTTAATAGCGATTTGAATACATTTTACTTCACCGACCTAAAGTCTACAAAAGCTGTATACGAAATTTATTATTTTTTAAACGTAAACATTTACCATTATCTTTTTCAAGAACATTAGTTCAAGATTCTATTTATTTACAGTTTTGTCATGTCGCCGTCTGAATTTACTAAGATGTTATATTTTTTGATAAGACCGCAAGTTAAGATAGAAACCCAAATGTCTCTAGTCTACAATTATAAATATATATTACAAGTTGCTACTTATTTTGTATTTAATTGCATATTTTTAGTATTTATTTATATTTAATCGTATGTAAGTCTATCTTATATTGTATTTATTTTTCACATGTGTATTTATGTATATATTTTTATGTAAGTTTATTATGATATAGCACCGTCCAGTCCACTTATTCCTCTCCCTGCAAGGTTGCCTGGAAGAGATCGCTTTCAGCAATAAGGCCGCCAACTTATGTCACCGACTATTATTTGTTTTATTTGCTCACTCTGTACATATGGTGTTAAATAAAGTGTTATTATTATAAATGTTTTTGTATTAATAACTATCATCTAAGCGCGGTCACGTCAGCGTCGCGCCTTGCTTCGTTAAATGCACGAAACAGATTCATCTGTTGAATCAATTCCCGCCCTCCTTAATGTCCGATAATTATATTATACTAGGTTTCACGCTATTGTCAAAAATTACTGGAAAAATCTCCAAGTGATTACCACGCGCCAACGCATATTACAATCTAGCGCGTTGGGAAAACTCTTTAAAATATAAATAAAACAACATCCCGAGACATGGTTTTGACTCAAGTTGATTATGAATAATCGAGTTTTTTTTTCAACATTTATAATTTATACACGCAGATTGTTATGATTTGTTTTAAAAAAAGACATGGATGTCGATGAAGAATTAGAAGAATGTGTTACTTAATGAAAAATGTATTGCTGTACCACTCCCGAATAAAATACAAAGGCCACGGCTGCAGCTAGATTGTAAATATCTAAGTGAAGTGAATTAAATTACTTTTATGGTTTAAACCATTACGAGGAGATTAATGCCGCGATTCTTATTTTCATTTTACAAATCTGACTTTGAGTTTCGAATTTTTTGGCTAGGCTGTAAAGTTATTACATTAAAAAAAACGAAAGCTTTTAATAGTTAAACTGAGATTAAACCGTAAAAGTATTTTTATTGGTGTGTATAAAGCCGCGAAAACCGCAGAAAATACAATAATCGCAAGTTTTGTAATTTTAAATACCTATACTTATGAAATTTAATTCTATCAAAAAAGTTTGGTTGTATTTATTTGTTTGTATTCAATGCAATTACCTCGAGCTCCTCTTCAGACGAATGGTGGTCGTAGAGATGATCGGGCTCTGGTTCAGGCAAAAGTCTGGCAGGAGTCGGCCCGCACGCACACGCCTCCCCAGTCATACCTGTAGTAGACAGATAACATGATTTTATCGCATCGTTCGTTATGAACATTGGCAACACTAGGCGCATGGTCTAGTCATTACAGACTGCTATAAACCTCTTTTGTAGAACACGGAACAAAATTTTACAACTTCACATAACTGATAATAAAAAAATAATACATAGCTGGGAATAAATCACGCACGGTAATCCGGCTCCAATATAGAATATGTGTTATAAAGACCGAGACAAAATCAAACGAGTCTGTTCATAAGACGATTGTTTGCCTGATGGGGGAATCGAACCCACGACCCTCAGCGCAACAGAGGCGCTACCTACTGTACAATCAAGTCAGTCAGAGATCCGCATATCGCAACAACTATTGCCTATTGTCCGGCCGTCGGAAGAATACGCTCAAACCAATATCACATTTAGCACTAAATGACAAAAATTCACTCCAAGTTGACACAACGATTTATTTCTAAATCACACATATTTTTTGTCGCCCTCCTCAAACCAATGATAAAAGCAACAAAACCTCTCCTCAAAACTACATCGTGCGATCGTCATCCGCTAGAAAGACCTTCTTCCAGCGGCCGGATAATGAAATAAAAAATCCGTTTGGCGACCTCTGTATAAAAAAAACGATCTAAAAGCACCGCTTGCGTTTAATGCCTAATGTCCACTGGAATTTTATTGTATCCCTCAGTGGTGAGTAAAAATACACGGACAGACGAACGTGAAGAACTTTAGATTGCGGCATTTAGCTACGCTGCCATACGTTTCAATGTTTTTTGTGCGTTGTCCGTCTGTCAGTCAATAGCGATACTGATTTACAAACTTTATCCTGCAGGACCCATTGTGTGATGTTAGGATATCGACGCAACTGATGCCACGTACCATTCATCATTTTCCATTTGCATATCGTGTCGCATGTCGTTACCATAGTTTTTTTTAAATTATTGCAAAAACTATAGTTTATATTGCGAATTTAAATAATAATTATTAATTATTTATTTACATATTTTATAATCATAATGATTTAAATTTTTTATGATGTACGTTAAGAAATAATGAAGTATATAATGTTTTCTTACTATAATATGCAATTCATTCGATAAATATTAAGCTTATCGTGATCTTTCATAATATATGTACATATTGTACACACGTTTCATCATTGTTATTTTTGAAGAGATACGCGTATGAGTATCAGGCGATTATCATAATATGAACTTATCAGTTTTACTTCAGACTGCTATTTATAGATAAATAAAGCCTTTCAAGGATCCGGGTTTAGAGTTTGTCTTTGAAGTTTCAAAAGCAATCTGTCTTTTTGAGACCGGTTGGCGCAGATAATAAATAATGATGCAGCATTTGCTAATTAGATAAACCATAACGATACCTATTCAAAATACTACCTAATATTACACATATAAACACGAAACTCGTGGTTACAGCAGGACATTTTGACGTTTCGTGACTCGCTCGCGTCAACGGCGCATTGAATCTTGATCTTCGTTTTCCCACGATAACTTTACCACTATTTCGGCTGTAGTGCTTTACGAATTTAGTTCTTATATCTCAGCGGGTAACGCTTCAGTAAGATTGACGGATGTAAATGACATTTGAAGTTGGAGATAACATCGGAGCAGAACAACTCGTCGGTGTCTTTCAATTATTCACAAGCGGAATAGTGTGGAGCATGTATATTAAGTACAACTGTTGTATAACTTGAACACATTGATTTTTATCGTCGATAAGCAAATACAGTACATTTGGCAGTCTGTGATAATATCAATTTAACTAGTTTTACATGTGTGAGTGACATGACATGCTGTGAGCTCGTACGATTACTTATTTTGGCTATTTATATACCGCGCGTTCTACTTTGAAGTTTAGGGTAGACGTTATTCCAATGAAATGTTATTTTTTTGTTAAATTTAACTATATAGTTACTAGTGGTAGGACCTCTTGTGAGTTCGCACGGGTCGGTACCACCACCCACCCTGCCTATCTCTGCCGTTAAGCAGTAATGCGTTTCGGTTTGAAGGGGGAGCAGCCGTTGTAACTATACTGAGACCTTAGAACTTATATCTCAAGGTGGGTGGCGCATTTACGCTGTAGATGTCTATGGGTTCCAGTAACTACTTAACACCAGGTGGGCTGTGAGCTCGTCCACCCATCTATTTATATAACCAATGGACATGCCAAATTAAATAACTTCACGTCGCCCTATACCAGTATGACCGGGTACCGTGGGTATCAGTGTTGTTCTATGGTATAGCAATGAGTAGAGACGTAGATACCGTCTCTACATATTCTAAGTCATTTCCACATACATACATCACGCGTCTTCCTAAACAATGTACGGCTAATAAGCTGGAAGCATGAGGTCGGCGTGATTTACAATATAATAATAGAAGTTGAGTATTATTTTATGGGCGGGCAGGTGGCATTTGCGGTAAACGACTAAAGCCAAAAGGTCATCGAGGTCCGTGAACCAAATAATTTCAATACATTTGTTCGAAGCGTCGGACGTGGCCTTAACCGCTATCCTGGTATGAACGCAAACGCCCGTCTCTGTAGGGGTTCTTTAGGTTAAATATAACTCTCATTAGGGTATATTATTATTATTTCTCTGTTGATATGTGTGTTGGACTGGAACAAATCTTGGATTGAATTATTCAATGACCTGCCTTGCTCTATAATATATTATTTGTATTACTATCATAATAGAAAAACAGTATGGTTTTAGGCTCAAAACTGGCCCGTGCAAATTGTAAGATCTGTCGGAAAAGTTAATTAATTTCTTTGTAACGCTCCCACTGGAAGTACTAGTCTAGTACAGTATATATGAGTCGTCTTTTATCAAAGGTGGCAATCTGTGCATTTGGACGAATTTTTTTTATTGATATGTCAATACAGATTTATTTGAATATAATCGTCTCCTTCAAAGAATACGGTTCAAAACCTGCATTAAATAAAGGTTAATAGTTAACCTCTTATTTATCTAAGATGTCGTTCCGAAGAGTTTTGTGACTGCCAATGGAATACAACGTCAATAATTCGTTTTTCTGATTTACCAATCATTGTCCAAAAGTCAGATTGCCGCCTTTGATAATAGTCGACTCATATGCGCTTAGTGTACAGGCGCGGGTTAATGGACGGTTTCGATTATATATTTTTACAAACAAATATAAATTCTTTTACAAGGAATGCAAAAGGAGCTATCAATACGATGTTACCGTGAGTCACCGTGAACATTTTACATAACTCACGACAACTGAAAACAATGTCCAATTTGAGCCTCAGCCGAACCGAACTATAACGTCTGCTGATATTCGTAATTCGTTGTTTGTTATTCTTGAATCCGTTCTATGGATATGGTAATGATCTCGACAAGATTCTAAACTGGTTTGAGAGTACTCGCCGCACATACAAACGAGAATGACGTGCTCGTGTTACCAGTATCTCTATCTTTGATAATAATAATATTATGTGTTACAGATCATATCTTTTATTCGGTAAAGTTAATTCTTGTGGCGTAACGGAAACATGGTTCTGGATCGCCTGGTTGATTCTTGGATGCTAGGCACATACAAATTTTGAAACCGTCAAATATGTTTATTTTGGTTTTTAGACAAAAAATGGTTTCTGCCATCTGGCCATTCGTTAACGTTAGCTACAAAATGAATAATTTGTTGTGAATCAAACCCTGAAGCCTAAGCCCGTAAGCCCTACGCTACAGCACTACAAACGTCATTATATGTCGTTTTGACATACTGAAAGAGAAAAAAAAATCAGCTAGTTGTAGTATTTTAATGTGGCGAGCTGTCGAAATGATTCATGCCCACTTTAGGGGTTTAATCTTGTACTGTTTTCTGTCGCGACTCTATTATGTCAAGTCGGCACTTTACTTTGGTTTGGCAAATTCCATGATGTCGACTATGTAATCCTCAACTTTTTTGGTCACCGAAGATTTATGCGTAAGTATATAAACATAATATACTGATAGATAATATATAATCATAAAATTACCTATTACCAAGTCACGGTAACACCCGATACTTGTTATAACCGATAACAGTATTAGGTAGTATTGCTGTTACACACTATTGGCTAACCTTTGATTAAAATTCTATAGAGCAACGGTTCAATAATGTTTTGATTGTTTATACATACACGTTGAAGGCTGGATCGAAGCCAATCCGACGCGCTTCACACTAGCGACAGCCAACAAAGCAATAGTGATGCGTTTGATTTTTCGTGCGTCTAGTCTATTTTACAGTCAAATATTACAATCGTGGTCCTTTAAAAAATATAAAAACCAATGTATTTTATATTGTCTTCCCTTCGCTGCTATCAATTTGAATCCCACAGACTAAAAACTTTTGCAACTACTTTTAAGGTTTAATCTAGCGTTTGGTTATTGTCATTGTTATAATATGATGTTAATTGCGACGTTTCGCATACTTTAGAGTTCGTGGTCACGGACGATTGTCAGTTTCGATTGCTCTTTTTCTGCGAGTTTAATATCTAAACTAACGTCAACGCCGTAGCTTGCGTGCTCTCAGTACTCTTTACTCTTTGTTGCACTCCCCAAATCCACCTGCTTATTTAACTACTTCCTTACAATACTTAGGGTCTGACCACAGCCGAAATCTTCGTTCATCTCACAATCTTCTTCTTCGCTGTCCTCCACATAGTTCTGACTTTTTACACTCTTCATTCACTATTCAGTCTATTCTTCTATGGAATGCGCTCCCACTCAAAATAAGGTCGGCCACTACACGTGAAGCGTTTAAGACGAAGGTTCGAGAACTGTTTCTCA